CTGCCCTATTTCAATACAACAAGAGCGGACTTTTGACTACAGATGATTCAACATGTTGAGAAATAACATGGCCCAACAATGTAACGCCTTAGCTTTTGTATGAGCCATATGAACCAAATTAACTTGTCATTACCGCGAAGGTCGCCATTGCCTTTGCGGCTAGGTTGCAACCAACTAGTGTCTCACGAGTAAGATGAACAGAGATTGGCTGATCAATTTGGAAAGTCTTCAAGAAAAAAAAAAAAAGGTTGTCGCAGACTTATCGAAGAGTATGCATATCCTTATGTGTTTCAGTGGAAGTTCAAAATGTTGTGAGTAACACTGACGCACAAACGACCCCACATAATTGCGACTCTTATCGCCCTTAGGCATAGCCATACGCAATTCACGCATGTCTGTCGCAATTATGGAACCCCCATCAAATGTGATTAGGACAAAGTATTACGAGCTCGGCCTGATGGTAGCATAAACTGGGGGGTTTTAAGAAATTGGCTGGTATTTCTTTCCTACTACAAAGTTGACAATTTGGAAACATTGATACGGTGGACACAGTCACATCAATTCAATGGCTATCAAAGCTCGTAGAATCGCTGTCATCGGCACGGGACCGGCCGGTGCTATTGCTACAGATGCATTGTTTAAAGAACAGGCCTTTGACACCATCCGCGTCTTCGAACGGCAAGTTGGAGTAGGTGGAACTTGGTAGGCACTCGTGATGAATGTTTGAGGACGCAGAGCTAATAACATCTCTTGCAAGGATTCCAACTCCTCATCTACCACCAGAGATTCCGTCACTAGGCGACCTCATCGCTGGGAAAGCGGATGATGCTGTGTCTATTCCAGGGCAACTTCCAGGTGTTACGCCACTGACTGATTCAGTCAATAACTACCAGAAGCGGTTTTCAGACTCTGCATTGCATGAGAATCTCCATAGCAACATTACTCCAGAGCTTATGAGTTATACACAGGAACCATTTCCGAAAGACCTATCAGACCGCACACTGGCAGAGTACGGTCCTCACGCCCCTTTCAGACACCATTCTGCTATACGAGGTTGGATTGAAAGTATCTTCTCGCGCGGTGGCTATGAGAGCGCTCTCGAACTGAACACAACCGTCGAGAAAGCCGAAAAGGTGCACGGAGAGTGGATCCTCACATTGCGGAAAGAGACTTCCGCGCGTAATTATTGGTGGAGAGAAAGCTTCGATGCACTAGTGGTGGCATCTGGCCATTATAACGTGCCTTGGATTCCTGATATACCAGGACTGGTGGAGTTTGAGCAGAAATACCCCGGTACTGTACTGCACAGCAAGCATTACCGAGATCCATCAAAGTTTAAAGGAAAGGTAAGATAGAATATGCATCATATTTGCTTTGTCTGTACTTGACTTACAGTGTTTAGCGTGTTATTGTGATTGGAGGCTCTGTATCTTCTCATGAAGTTGTACATGAGATTCTCGATGTAGCTCAACATCCTGTGTATGCATCCATCCGAGGCGAACCCATCGCAGCTTTTGGTTGGGAACCATTCCTTCATCCCCATATTGCTGTCAAGAAAGATGTCATCCGCTTCGAATCCGATGCTAAACGCATCTTTTTTTCTGATAATACCAGTCTGGATGAGGTGGATCATATTATTTTCGGTACGGGGTACACTTTCAGTTTGCCGTACATCCCCCACGTGCAGGAACGTATAAAAAAAGCGTACCGTCGACTCCCAGGCGTGTATCAGCATACGTGGGATATAGAGGATCCAACACTAACATTCATCGGAATGGTAAGCTTGATGAACTAAAGCAATGATGTCGAAATTAACACTCTCGCTAGCTTGGAGGAGGCTTTACTTTCCGGGTATATGAGTGGCAGGCTGTGGCAGTTGCACGGCATCTTGCCGGGAGAGCAAAGACTTTGCC